CCAATGAAACAGAACGGTCAGTTCTGTCGCTTTCTACTCCTGGAAGTAATGAGCTGAAAGCAACGGTTCCACAGACGCGTCCTCATCATGACCGTATTGGACCTCTGAAAGGGCTCAGCTACACTGAAGATAGCATCGAGTTGTGTACAGCAAACATGACAACACACAGGTTTTGGGGCCGCGCGGCCCTGAAAAAAAATTGCACGGGCAATGTCCTAATTTTGGCTGGGCGTGGGAACTTCAATTCACCCCCTCCCCAACTTTTTTTTTTTTTGGCTGCCCATGCGGCGCACCGGGTGCACGCGCCACGTGCGCAATGCGCAGTGCGCCGCATCTGCGCGAGTGGCACGCACGGGATGCGCCGCAAGTATGTTTTAAACACTAGATAGGAGCCAGAGCTCTGTTGCAGCCCAGCCTTTGGGGCATATGGCGATTCTCGTGGGAGAGAATAAAATCGAGGGAGGTAGGGTTCTACTCTAGAAAGGGATTAGTCAATTAAACCACCAGTACTTGACCCAGCTATCGATGCCAAACCTGAAAACGGGCTGTACACCGTTTTGCGCCGACCCGCCAGTGCAACGAGAGACGGTTAACGGGGGCCCAAATATTCGCCGTTTTCGTTGGCAATTGATTCGTCGAAAATAACACCCCTGGTAAACCATGTGTGGGTGGGGAGGGCTGACACTGAGGTGGGACCGAGAGACTGGGGGTATGCTAGGGAGAATTGTGGCAAGGAGGTGGCTGGGTTTCCATGAGGGGAATCGATTACCCTCTCGTATACAAGGGAGTTCAACGGTACACAATGAAACCTATCGGAACCGCAGTTGAGCCCTTGCAATCCTGGAAGACGTCTGCCAGCCTCCGGAGCTGGCTCCTATTTTCTTACACAGATGTATAGACAGCAGAGTGATAAAGACCCCTCCCTGCACCCAGAGCATGGGGATGCTCAACCACCCAGCAGCCCCCCTTCGCTTTTCTAACTGCCGTCTTCCCCCAAACACAATGGGCCCTCATTATTATGACCGTAACAGACTGGTGTAGAGTTATTTTGTATACAGTCATGTTCAGGGTGCATTATGTTTGGGGGAAGACAGTGGTGTCCAGCACTCTCAGAAGTCTACCCCCCTAAGCTTCTCAATACCCGAGAAGTTTCTGAAAAGACCTGTGCAGCAACAGGAGAACCCCCAATCAAATCAATACCGAGCATGGTCCACGGATCTTCAACAAACATTTAAATGCGGCACCCTGACCGACTAATGCGCCGCAAGCGGGTGACGAGTCAGTCAAAATTACTGAAAAAAATTATTAAAAAAAAAAAAAAAAAAAAAAAAGACAGAAAACACAATCGGTGGTAAACAAGACGGGCAGAAGGCCCCACCGGAATCAGCGTACGACAAGGCGTTTGATCTGTACCCCCCTTATTCTGCCAACGAGTGAGCAGGAGGACAGTGGTTGAAAAAACTTGCAGACCCTCTTTTTTTTTTTTTTTTTTTTTTTTTTTTTTGATAGAAAAGCAAGCAGAAATCCATGAAGAATCATTTGCAATCAAAACGGAGATCTGCTGTGTTTGCCTCTGCAATCTTTGTCATCGACCCGATCGTTAAAGTTCCATGCAGGGAGGAAGATCGCACAAGTTCTAAAAGACGCTTTTATCAAACCCTATTCCGACCAAGTTTTGATCGGGGAGGAAGATCGCACACTTTGTTGTGCACCCATTCCACAAATGGTTAACAGCTACCCACCCCCACTTGGCTTGCTGTTTTATATGTTTTYAATTATTTTTTTTTCGGTTTTCTTTTTACAATAAGTTAGTAAAGAAGTGAAAGGGGAAAGAATAGTACGCCATTCAAAAAAAAAAAAAAAAAAAAAAAGTTAGTAAAGAAGTGCACTTTACAGATTGGTGTTAAGTATGGTTAAAATGCCCCTTTGGTTTTCTTATGAATGGGGGTGAAAATTGGGTGGTCGGTTAACCTTCTGTCCACCCATTCCCGTTCCTCCGAAGACGCATGAAACAACTATTTATTATTAATCCGTACTTGTCCATCTCTTACAGATTTGTATCACTTTCTATCAAGGCCTTAAATCTGGATCAATCAAAAACCCCTACGCAACGATCTTTTCTGATTGCTCGCCCGACACAGCAGCTGGACGAGCGTCAATTTCCTCAGGAACTGTACCACAGTGAGAAACCATCCCGTCATTACTATCTGCAGGTGGCCAAGCGGTCTCAGATCTGGATTGAACCAAACACCCCTACCGTCTTCACCCGAATAGAACGCCCCATCATTACCGTTGCATCTGGACTGGGAACTGTGCCGAATACAGCTATAATGACCGAGCATCATGGCTGTGCCGGCAACCGGCCGGTTGGACCGGCCCGGATCCAACCGGGCCGGTTGGACCCCCCGTGGTCCAACCGGAATTCCGGTTGGGTCCAAAAGTGGGTCAATTTTTTCTTATTTTATTTTTTTTGAAAACATGGTTGGACTGCGCTCACCGAGATCTCCCCAAATCCGCAAAGAAAACTTTGAACAGAGAAGTTTCGTTTGGGGGGTTGGGGGCTTGGGGCGGGGGTATTTCAGGGGTTGAGGGTTGGGCGTTGGGGGGTTTATGGTGAGGGTGTTAGTGGTGGAGTTTCAGCACGGGCTTCCGCAGACATTGACAACAACGTACCTGGCTTTCTGCAAACGTTGACGTTCTGCCCAAAAACTTTGAAGAGGGGGGTGGGGGTGTTAGTGGCAGGGTAAGGACGGTACTTCCCACCCAAAAACTTTGAAAAGGGAGGTAGGGGTTGTAGTGTGAGGGGGTGCTTCGTCGAAGTTGCCCTCGATACTGGTAGGGTGATGGTCCTGAGTGCTGGTCACACTGGGGTGTTAGTGGCAGGGTAGGGACGGTGCTTCCCACCCAAAAACTTTGAAAACAAGGGTGGGGGTTATAGTGTTAGGGGATGCTTGTCACTGCTGTCTGGTGACTGCCCTTGATACTGGTAGGGCGATGGTCCTGACACTGAGGTAGGATAGTAGGGATAGGGGGTGCGCTGGGAGCATTAACGTGGGGAAGGGTAGGGAAGGTGGCCTATCCTGTCAGGACAACTACCGGCTCCCGCTGCCAGCAATCACTGTGGGTCTAGTCCTTAGCCTCAACAACACCATGGGCTAAAAAAAAAAAAAAAAGATGCGATACAGCCAACCGAGGGGGAACAGGCCCGGTCGACCGGCCGGTAGGACCGGTCCGGTTCCAGTTGGGGGAGGACCCCCCGGTCCTACCGGGTTTTTAGCACTGCCGAGCATTCCATTCGGGCGAAGACAGCAGATCGTCTCTGATTGCTCGCAAGACCGAGCATTCTATTCGGGCGCAGACGGCATATCGTCTCTGATTGCTCGCACGACACAGCACCTGGACGATCACCAATTTCCTCAGACACCATACCACGGCAAGGAACTAACCCGTCAACACTATCTGCCGGTGGCTGAGCGCTCATTTCCTCAACAATAATACAACTACGGTGAGGCCGGTGGACCCGCACTAGCAATGAAGCATGGCTACAGATGGCATATTACTCTCTTGTTTGCTCAGTCTCGTTAAATGGGCAGTAGTGCAAACAGAATTACCATGGATGTATCAACTGACCGAGCTCAGTTGGTACACATACGAACTGTAGAGACAGAGAACTGAGTTTGAATTGCGCTGCAATCAGGATGAGCGAAAGTAACTCCTTAATTTACCTAGGGCCTGTGAGTTCAAAGATGGTAGTTCAAGACCGTCGCCCCTTTTCTTTCTCAAAAAAAAACAAAACAAAGAAGAACTACCATCGGTGCAACAAGGTTGCAACCTGAAGCATACAGACGAACAGCAGTATGCACACGAACGGCAAAGCATACAGCAAGAATACATCAAGAATACAGATATGCTCACACACAGGTACACATGGCTCCCGAGTCCCGTATACACAACCTCCTTGCAACCATTGAAGGTCCGAAAGGTCAGAAGCGTTTGAACAGCAACGGGATTCGTCAGTGAGCAGAAGAGCGTAGTTCTGCGTCCCCTCCCCACCGAGAAGTTGCAACCACTGGTCAGTTTACCAGCTCATCGCGTTCCGAGTCTTCCGACACACAGCGATTAACCCGGCGGAGAATCGCAGAAAGGCCCATCGGACAGGACAGAAAAGGCTGGGGGCACCTGGCAATTTCACGCTTCGTATCCATTCTCTTTTTCTGGGGGTCAGGCAACGAAGCACGTTGGAAACGTGAGACGCTTGGAGAGAGGCTCAAAGTCGTATTTGACCTTAAGCATTTTGCCACAGACGATGCTTTGCCCCGCACCTAAACCGTGGAGATGGTCATCTACTGACTGACCATTCTAATTCTATGTCCATGCTTAAGATGTGGAGATAGGCATATCTACCGACCATTTTAATTCTATGTCCATGGTTGGAAAACACGAGCCATGTCACAATCGTGATAATGAACGTTAGCTGCGGTTAGCATGAAAAGCTGAAAAAACAATACCGCACGGACTAGTGGCTGGCCCTCAGGAGGGCTCAATCAGAGGAACAAACATGCAAATTGCGCTTGAGATCAAGAGGAAGAGTGGCAATTTAGCCGCCATCCCAACAACCATTTGAGTCCTTCGACTCCTCTCCCCTTTATTATGAGCATACGCCTCATCTTGTCACTAACATCAATGTGTTACGATTGTCACAACAACCATTCGGGTCTTCCGACTCCTCTACCCTTTCTTTCACGGGCTTTTGCATCATCCATCATCTTTTTTTTCTCACTAGATCAAATGATCTCAAATGTTCTCAATGATCCATACAATTCGATATGGGACGCTGGGCCCGGTTCCCAGCATATGTTGCTCCCCACGAATAGACTGGACCATTTGTTTTCAAAAAAAAAAATAATAAAAAAAAAAAAATGCTCTCTGCTGCACACAGACATCGAGTAGATCAGACTGCATGCATGCTAAACAGTAAGAACCTATCATAAAGCTTGTTTGACAGCAGAACAGCTTTATTGGAGAAATTTTTCACGAAAACCAAATAAAAATAAAAAATATCAACGACAGCATATAGTAGCATGTGGCGCAGCAATGCGCCCACACAGTTCAATGCAGCACATCTGGACGTCTTCTTCCCCCAAATACAACACACCCTGATGATTAGTGTACAAAAGCGATCTTCCTGGTCTGATACAGTCACCAACGAGGGTGCATTATTATGTTCAGAGGCAGAAAGTGGCGAAGGCTCATTCTCACAGGCCTTCTAACAGGAGTGGGAAGCAAAACCCACCTTCACATGTACATAATTTCACTGCCACAACAGAAACAGAAAGGCATGCACACACCCTACCCAACCTTCAACCCCCTCCCCCCCCTCCCCCCCCTCCCCCCCCAAACTCGTTAATCCCATGCGAAAGCCATGCACACACCCCACACAAACTTCGATCGGCTATCCATACCAACACGTCGATCCCATGTGCTTCAGCTCAACGACACACGAGTTCTGGCAATCAAAAGCTAGGATTTCCTGACTGAATAGGGTCCTGTGCATGATCAGACAGTTTTCAGTATGTCCCCACTCCCAACACAAACTCTCCCCCCAGTCCCCTACCTTGTTGTGTCCACTGTCTGTTGCAGACTCTTGGCTACATGCAACGGGACAAGGACAGACATGAAGCTAAGAGAGCGGACTACCTGGAAAAGCTCACATGCAGTAGCAGTCATGCCCCCTCCCCTCCTCCGAAGAACGAGGGACAGACCATGTCCCCTCCCCTCCGACGAAGAAAGAGGGGGAGAACGGCGGCGGCAACCGTCTTCGTCATTAGCATAAGGCACGAGAACTGGGGGGCACAGAACCATGGACACGGCAAAACCAGGGGGGAAACCACAAAGGATTGCCTGCCTCAGGGCCAGCAACTTATTGCGGTCTGAGGCCTCACTGACATAATACAAAAAAAGACATACAAATCGTCACAAGCGAGAACCAACCAACATGCAAGAATACCAGAAGGTCACTGGCATCAGACACGGCAAGGAAAAAATAACTGTCTCGACAACCCCTCAAAACACCTTTTCTACGTACCTATGAAACCAATGTCTCACACAAGCGTACACCAATAACTTGTACACACTGCATTGTCTGCCCGCATGCAGCTTTGCTTCGCCTCTCTACACCAGATCCAGATGCTCTTCTTGTTTCGTCAACTCACAGCCGTCTCATGAGATTGCAGCAGCAAGAAAAGTGAGAAAATTGCAATGACCTCCTCAAATGGGTATTCATTAAAAGAAAAACTGACTGAAAACTGACCTGAGATTCGACGAAGTTTCTTAAGACACATCCAGCCAGATTATCATTATCTTTCTGTAACTCCCCCACTCCTTTGCAAACTCTTGGCCACAATAACCCTGGCAAGCCGCCATCAGATGGCGGCCGCCCACGACTGTCAGAAAAGATGAGCGGGGCCAGCCCGGGGAGGGGGAAATACGATCAGAAATGATGAGGGGGAAAAGAGGGGGTCACGCTATTGTCACCCCACACAGAAAGCTTGAGGGTGTCACTGGGGGTGGCAGCGGGGGGCGCAACAGGACCACCCACCGAGGACTCCCTTCCCTGCTGAGACAGCCAGTCGTAGCAGTGGGCTATGGGGAGAAGAAAGGGGCCAATGCTCGGCAACTCAGACTGTGTCGTCCAGAAGAAAGGCCAACCAGATTGACAATCCAGACTGTGACTCCTTAGAGACACTCACAGAAGAGATGCATTGAACGTGGACATTCCAGATCCCTTTCAGCCCACAACAATACAGAGAAGTAATAGCACCCAGAGCGAGGTAAGCTGCTCGTCCTTCGATAGAAGGGTGGTCATATCTGCAAGCAAGCAATGTAAGCAACCTACCTACCTTCTCCTATTCCACAAGGAATATTCGTGCGTATAAACAGGAACGCCAACACAAGGCAAGGAACAGTAATGCGATTAGATCGACAGAGATACAGCTCTAGAGTCATGAAACCACATGACTACTCACTCAGGCACAACAAGGACTGGACGGCAGGTCGTGCTCAAACTCCTGCTATAGAGAGATGGTGACCATTAGCAACGTTCCATAAACAGAAAGGCAAACCAACCTTGCTGCAATACATTGGCCACAGCAAATTGCTTTCCATGAGATATCCCCTCCCCTTCTTATCTACACTTAAAAGAATACACAACGGCACGATGGAGACTGACTTGCCAGAGAAGTCAGACTCCAGTCCCCGCCTTTCCCCTGCAGGACTCTCTTCTCCATCAACACTTCCCTACCCCCTACCCCCCCCCCGCTCCTTCCCCCTCCCCTCCCTTCCCTCCCGCTCCCTCCCGCTTTCTCACACACACACACACACACGCACTACCTGCACATCCTACTGCTGCACTCGTACACACCTATCCCCACACCTCTGCTGCATGGCAGAGAAGATGGTTGCAACACCCAGACCTGCCGGCGTTGCTTGGTCGAGCCATCAATCCACCCACCCTTTTTTTCTCAACTTAAATACTCTTCTTCTTCAAAACACTCTTCCATTTGTCTCCAATTGATCCCATCTATAGCCCAGTGCAGGTGACTGTTCGATACGTCACATGCTTGTGATGTCTGCTGTCACGTGCTGTGCTACAACTTTCTCAAAGGAAATCAACGAGGGGCATATTGCTGCTTACCTGCAGACCACTATACCACCCCATCAAAGTCGCCGATCTAAATCCGGCACCGGGGGCGATGCAAATGTGATGTAGCCCCCCCCCCCATTCCCTCCCCACTGTCAAGCTCCTTCCGTTCCGTCAAAAGTATCTTACTCCAATAATGGAGTTCGCAGTTGTTTTAATCCCCTCACCGCATCCACCGCAGTCTCTTCTCAACATACAGTCAGACCCTCTTTAACTGCTTCCGGGCCTGACAGGAGATTCGACTCACACGTTGCCAATTCTGCTAGCATTGCTTATTCACACCCGTACATCCCAGATACCAGAATCAACGGCCAGCAATCACCAGCAGCAGCAGCAGAGATACAACCAGTTATGCCAGACACCTGAGATGCAGTCTGGCATGCATGCTTGGCAGTGTGAATGCCCTCCTGGCCACTAACATGCGACGGGACCAAGCGCTCGTATCTTGTACATAACAGTAATCAACCATGTTTATGCATTTGCCAGGCAGAGATTGTTTATGAGCCCTTTGGGCAATCGCCAAGGCATATACGCGACCGACCAACGACCGTAGACTTGGCGGGGCCAGAAAGAGGTGGTCATGTTCCATCCATGCTGTGATCCATTGTCGGCCAACCTGTGAGACTGCCATTGGAGGGAATCCCCACTGCTGCGGAAGTTGCCGCCGGTTGCGCAGGAGCGGACATTGAACCAAACACAAAATTTGGGTCCAACTGCACAGGGTTCCGGAGGCTGTTTCCAAAAGAGAAGGTGAAAGGTGCCTGCTGTGACAAATCACAGGATGCGGGAGAACTGGATGCAAGAAACCCGAATGTTGGGGCTGTGACAGGCATTGGAGATGGCACAGGGGAGTTGAATAGAAACACAGGAGGTGGATTTGGTGCAGTGTTGGGGTTGACCTGAGCATTTAAAGGACCTGCGGAAGCATCACTCACTCTCGAAGTGCCTCCTGGGGACAAAACATTGGGAATCAGCGATGGTACCTCCTTCCCAAACATAAGGGTCTCAAACTCCTGCAACTGGCGAAAAATCACTGCACCAGGCATGACAGCAAACAAGACCACACCATTAAAGAATAATAAATAAAATGCATCCGCGTTTTCCCTTGGCCTGCACTTTGTGGCCATGAAAATGTGCAGCCTTATTTTGCTTCCCAAGCAACATCAAGAATGACAGATGGATTTTAACTTTTAAGGATCCACATTCTCCCTCACCCACAGCCCCCCCCCCCCCCCCCCCCCCCCCCCCCCCCCCCCCCGCCCCAAAATCTTATGAACCTTTTCCACGCCAGATTCAAGTACATGATACAGTGCACAGCCCCCAACTTCAGGGCTCTACAACTCTGCTGATGATTTCATGAACCGTTCCCTTTGCTGATCATTCACAGATCCACCAACTTCCAATCAGGGATAAGAAATGACGGCATGGTTGCACTATTGACTTTTTCAACTGACTTCTGGGTGTAATTGCAGTCTGATGCATCCACGTGAGGCAATACTTGCAGACAGAGACTGCAATCTAGAAAAGTCCTTGTCAGTACGCATGTGCGAGGGTTTGATCCCTCGGCATAACCCAAGTGAAGGCAGGCATCTGAACTCGTCAATTCTTGCAAATCTTGGTCGGCGCCAGACAGTTGCCACACTCCGGTTGGTTACATCCGCCTTGCTCGTGAGTATCCACAATATTCGTGAGCCTTCCAGGCTCTTCCAGCAACGTGGTCGAAGCAGGGAGTATCGCCCGCTTGTGCCTGGGTGGTCGGTTGGTCATGCCTAACCAATTCGGTCCCAGGCCACTGTCGTAACGGGCCTGGGAACAGATACTTTGGCTGAGACTGAAGCTACTGGGAAACTGGGTCTGATGGAGTGTGGCAAGGCAAAGCCCCGCCACTTTCCATATGGGAGAGGGCTGGGCGCCAGATGGGGATTCGGGCACTTACATGCTGATGCAGCAGCACTGCTGCTGGAGCTAGCGCTCGCACACTGCTGCGCTAGAGTATGGTGAGTGTGCGTGCGCGCGTGCGGTCATGCAGAAGCAGGGCGCTGCTGTGGGCAGAGGCGTAGCCAGCCATAGCCGTGGTGGGCTTGGATAAGGTCAGCAGAGGTGGTGGCGGTCTTCGTGTATGGGAAGGAGACGTGGGTAGAGAAGACGACGGAGAGAAAGAGAGAGAGATGAGGATGATCATACGAGGGGACGTACCTGGTCTTGGCGATTGTCTACGAGGGTCGACATCTTCATGTACTTCGGTTCGGCTGCTGACATCAAGAGTTGCATTGTCAATTCGTAGGCGGGTAGTAACTATGTAATCGCAGTCTGGGCGCCGAGCGCCAGATAGCAGTAAGGGCTCTGGATACTGATGTTGGTGATGGCGAGAGCGTACACACGGACTCAGTGTTGTGGGTCTCCATTGGTGTAGCATCGGTGCAATTCTGCTTTCCGGACAGTGTTGGACTTCCTGGCTTTTAATGTGATTTTGCAATCTGGAATCTGTCATTTCGCTATTGCTCATTTTTTTCTTGCAATTTGGTATCGGAGCTGGTTCGAACCGCTCTGCTGGCGGCCTTCACAATAGCTGTTTGGTGCTTCGCTGGTAAATGGTGGGGCAGTGATAACGCTTGTGCGTTGGTAAGTGGCGGCCCAGTGTCATGTGGGTGCGGCGGGAAGGCTACGTAGCAATATTGGGATGCGGGTTGGATGATGAGAGCTTGCTGACGTGGCAATTTAAGCCGAGGTGGAACTGCATTGATTGTGGGTTGTGCCGAGGCATCGACCGGTTATCATAAATGCACGTCAGGTTACTGGTGAGAAATCTGTGGTTGGGGGCAGCATTATGAGGTACGTTGCTTCTTACTTTATCTACCCTCCTCGTTACTTCTTACCGTGAGGAAGTGAGTGCTGTCTTGAGAGTCCTCTCATTGTGAGGTGTCGCGAGCTCTCAACCTTGAGAGTCCACATTCTTCCTGGAAGCAAGCTGGTTGGAGACGGGTGTTGCCTCTGAAGGGCCCTGGACGAAGCACTCGGGTCACGGTCACCATGCCAACCCGCTGGGATTAGTACACGGATGCTACGCTGCTTGTCCTTGGTACTGCTGGCTGCGCTATAGAGGGAACGTGGACTTACCAGTCCTACATGAGACGGATACCAGACCATCTATAAATATTTCTGGTGGATTCGAGTTGAATCCGGGCTGTGATCGGCGTCCTGTCTGCGACGTTAAATAATTCCTGAGGACCTTGGGGGCTGTCCTTAAACTGCCTCTTGATCAGCCAGATCAATCGGATGCAAGGCTCGTTGCACGCAAGGGTAAAGAACGGGCAGGACTGGTCATAAGCGAGTTCCTGTGCACAGGGGTGGGCCGTTGCACACCTTCAGACACGCCGCTACACCAGAGGTCTAGGACGTCGACATAAAGTGACTACTCGAGAGGGATAAAAGGGGGAGGGAGGATACCAGTGAACAGTTCAATTATTTATTATTGAAATTTCCATTCTGCATGCCCACATCTAGCAAATGATTTTATTTTTATTTTTGATTAGCTAGTTGTGACTGACACTGCTAACAACTGACAAACAGCTGCAGATAGGTAGTATATATTCCTTGCTGCATTGCAATCTGTCTCAGACTAGTCAGAAATAGAAATAGAGTTGTTTGTAAGAATCTGAGATTATGTGCTATTACCGCTTGACTACTTCCTTACAAAACTGGACCAGGTATTTATTTATTTTAATTGGTTGGATAGCATGCTGCAGTAGGTCCCAAAGAGGACACTAGTGTACATCGTAGACCACGTGTAGCCCATGAGTGGAGATGACAGTGGGGCCGATAGGCTTGAAGAAGACGATAGGAGGATCACTAGAAGGCGGGCACTCAGTCGACCGATCACTAGAAGGCGGGCACTCAGTCGACCGATCAAGGAGAGGAAAGGAGGCTGCGGAGAGAAGCCAGAGGGAGAGGAATACTGCAGATGGCTAGGGAAGCAGCAGCCAACGCTGCAAGGCCACTAGCAGTAGCAGCAGAGTCTAGAGCCGGAGCTGAGGCAGTCATGGCTTCCTCCTCTACACAAGTTTCCTCCTCTCAGGCATCTTCCTCAGGTGTCCGTCAGGGTGTTCTTCAGACGTCCGTTAGTCCGTCTGTTGGCCTTCAGTTCAGCCAGCAGCAACCCATGTCAGACGGAGATTATGAGGTCTAGAAAAGCTAGACTAGAGGCAAGGGGAGAAGATTAGGCAAGTTAGAAGCTATAGCTGAGTCAGCTCTCGATCCTGTAACACAGTCCCTTCGGAGGTCCCTACTGAGTGTAGCCGAGGTACAAGCTGTGCAGCAAGAGATGTCAGCTGCGCTGATAGCTGGTCAGAATCAGATTCTGACCGCAATGCGGGCGCCACGACCTCCGGTCAGGCAGCAACAGTTTGTTGTAGCTCCCCCTCCGATTGCAGATCCTACCATGACGCTGCCTTCGACAGGACAACCCTTTATTCCTCAGTTTGGTATTCACTTATCAGGCAGATTAGTAGTAGGTAGTAGTGGGCAGATTCCTGTACAGTCTTCTTCATTTCCCGAAGCTGTGGTTACCGCTACAGGGCAGCCACAAGTATAACAGCCTTTGCAACAGGGTCCGCAGCAGCAAGCGCTGCAGTGGCAACCCGTTCCACCGGTTCCGCAACTGTTGCAAAAGGCACAGGGTGTTGTACAGCCTATGCAATGGGCGCCCAAGATAACCTTGCTGAGTCCTAAGCCGTTCTCTGGCAACAAGAAGAAGGAAGAGGACCTGGACACCTGGGTGAGGACTGTGCCTACTTAAGTGAGGCACAAGCTCACAAGGACAGAAGAGGAAGTTATTGTGGCTGCATCCTTTGTAGAAGGATCAGCAGCTAGATGGCTGAATGGTGTAGTACAACAGCAGGGCTATGGTCAGGCCTTTGATGGTTGGGCACAGGCTCGAACATCAGAAGAAATCGCACAGATGGTCTACAGCAGGTGGCATGATCCCCAAGGGGCTGAGAAGGCCACCAATTCACTGGTACTAACCTGTGAAATTGGCGCTGTGCTGCAGGTACCTCGAAGACGAAGCTGTAGCTATGGCGCTGCAGGTAAGTCTCCGTGGCCTCCGCCCAATCTCTCTCTCTCCAGTACTACTCTAGCTCCTACTACCGCCCAGCGCTGAAGACTACTGCTAACGCTACTAGCGCCCAGCGCTGAAGACTACTGCTAGCGCTACTACTACTCCTGCAGCGCTCCTCCAGTGTGCTGCTGCCGAGTCCTGAAGACTACCTCCTGCCTCCTAAACTGCCCGTGAAGTGCCTGGGAAGTACCTAGGAACTACCTGCAGCCTGCACTGCGGGCCAGTCTTATATAGTGCTGGCCCGTCCAGGAGGCTGCTCTTGCCAATGCCAAAACGTGCCAGACCCTGGGGTTGAAGCTCAAACAAAGGTTGGCCTGAGCTAAAACCCTGGTCTGGTGCCTGAGTTTCAGGGCAGGCCGATCTTATGAGGGCCTGAAAATGGCCCTCAGTTTCAGGCTGAAAGGACTCAGGACCGGAAAGGCCCTGTTTTAGGCTGAAACGACACAGGGCCTGTAGGCCCTTGTTTTCAGGCTTTCAGGCTGAAACGACACAGGGCCTGTAGGCCCTTGCTTTCAGGCTTTCAGACTGAAAACGACACAGGGCCTGTAGGCCCTTGTTTTGAGGCTTTCAGGGCTGAAAACGACATGGGGCCTGTAGGCCCTTGTTTTCAGGCTTTCAGGCTGAAAACGACACGGGCCTGGAAATGGCCCGTGCAGCCTGTTGCAGGCGCAGCATGTAACATCTGGGGTCAAAGAGATACCGGACAGTCCGCAAAGTTACAAACGACGTACAGCGACTGATCGTCGTGCCTGGTGTGAGGAATGAACCCCAGGTACTCACAACTTATTTAAGATGCCTTCCTACAGATGTAAAAAATAAGTTGGTTGATGAGGCCAACTCAAACAGCATAACTTGCTACTTTTAGCAAGAAGGCCTTGGACAAAGAGGCTAAGCTTGGGAGTGCCCAGCACGGGCCA